ACAAAAACTTTGGGAAAATTTTGTTTTGTTTTCAAACATTGGGTGACAAACACAACACAACCACAGCCATCTTTCCCACATAAAGAAAGATGTAGCCATCTTTTCCAAAATTGTGGAACAAATGAATTTTGTGAACAAAGGTACCACTGTATTCCTTATAGTTCTGGAGGTCAGGAAGTTCACGATCCATCCTGCAACAGATTTCCTATCTGGTGTGGGCCCGTTCTCTGGGTTACAAATGGCCAAACTCTTGCTTTGCTTTCATATGGTGGGAAGGATGGGGAAGTTCTCTTGAACCTGTTTTACAAAGTCCCTTATAAGAGCAGACTGCCCGTTGCTCTCTCCTGAGAAATGAAGCCCTTGCTGTGACCTGTCCCTGACCTCTCCTTCATCCTATTCACTGAGCTATGCAGAGCTGGCTATATTGAAGCAAATGTCCCTCAGTTGGCTAAAAGAATTTTATGGAATCCAGCTGAGGCCCTGATGATCTCCTTAAAATCAAAGCAGCAACACTCAGGCGAGAGTAGCCTTCCGTGTTGATGCTTGGAATGGAGGCTCGAGTAGGAACCTGTGAGATTCCAGGGCTAAGACATGAGATAACATCTCAGCTGAGGCCTTGGGGCTCAGAATCAAATTATATCTTCCTGGTAATAAAGGTGCCAGCCTTGCATACATCAAAACTATCTGTGTATTGCTAATTGGATGCTTCTATGCCTCGTACGGTCACAGAATTTCTTTTCCCTGTGCACTCTGCCCCTACCCCGGCACACCTCCCTGATTGATACCAATAAAAGCTATGAGGTTTTGGAGACAAGGCCTTTTGTTCCACAGAGAACATTGGTCATCCCAGAGCTCTTCAGCTGCGGACTATTCTCTCTGTGTCGTTCTTTTGCACGTGTGCCATATTGCCAGGTGGGTTAGACTGATACCCTCATTGAAGGTTTCAGTGCCCAATCCCCTTCATAAGGGCTCTAACATCGGTTTGGGCATTCGGGTTTCAACATGTGAGTGGGGTGAGGAGCTTTCAGTTGATTGCGGCTTCATTGTAGTGCTTTCTGTGCATTACAGGTGTGTCAAGAAACCAGGTAAGAGGCCAGGACCATAGCAGTGCAGAGAAACAAGTGGAACCTGCACCTGCCCATGGTCACACTGCCAGGAAGCAGTGAACCTAGGCCATCTGCCTCTAGACCCCAGACTCATTACCACACAGGGACATAACCAGTGTTTAAAGGACACCTGTGCTTGTGGTTCTATGTTCATGATGGAGACAGATTGGGTACTGGGGCTAAGGTTTAGGGAAAAAAATGAAGTGGCTTCCTCAAAGGACAACATGAGTGGCAGAGCTTGACCTGGTTCTCAGCATTCCAGCTTCCATCCCAGTGCGCTTTGCCCCTAGGTCAGACACATTTGGCCTGGCATATTCAGTCAAGGGACCTGGACATCAGAATTGGAGGTTGTAGCACAGGCAGGCCAAGCTGGTGGCGTGCACCAGGTACGGGGTACAACCAGCCATGGGAAGTACCTGGGCATCACAAGCTGTGGGCAGCAGCAAAATGTGGAAGAAAACCAAGTTTGTGAGGATATAAGACACACTGAGCACTCTCACCTACACTACTGGGACTCATTTATTCTTTCTGTAGCCCTGGACATCAGTAAGAAGTGGCCGAGTGGCCCGATGAGGCAAAGGAAGTGGCATTTCAATTTCAGCCTGGTGACTGAAGCTTGTGACTGTCCATGCCTGTGTAGTGGCCCTAGGACTCCTCAAACCTCATGCCAAGGGTAGGAACTGTTCTCAGTGCAGAGTGTAGGGCCAGTGGGTCAGCTGACTGGAGTCATGGGGACAGAGAACATGGTCATCTTTGTCACTGTTCTTTAGAGTCAAGCTTGGGACAGCCTGGAAGCCTGTCACTCATCCTTGAGTCACTGGCTGTGAGCCCTGGCGTAGGCCTGGCCCCATGTAGGCTGCATAGTGGGTGTGACACTGGGTGGCACACAGTCACAGCTATGGAACTTACTATTATGCCTATTTTACAGATAAAGAAATGGGACTCAGCAAGACTGACTTGGCCTGTTCCTGGTGGGGCTGGGAGCAAACTTCCTGCAGCAGGTCCATCAGCAGCTAGCCATGTTTGGGTGATCTGGGGAGGAGTGGGGAAGAGCCCAAGTTCCTGTGCCCAACAGGAAGTGGTGAGAGGGGCCTAGTCTGGATCAGGCTTGGGATCTGTAGGGTCCCACCAAGCAGAGTTCTAGCTAGCTACACCGGTTGGATCCACTCTGATCAGGGCCAGTGCCATGGTTCTGAGCAATCCATCCAGCCACCAAAACCCCAGCCAGGCCATGGGAAATGGTGACAGAAGCCCAGAAATAAAGGCAAAGCTCAGGCTCAACCAGGGCAGCAGAGAGCAGGGCAGGTGAGCACGTGTGAGTTTCAAAAAAACCTCAGCTCAATTCCTGTCTAAGCTAGTTAGTAACTGAGTGACCTTGGGAAACTTACATACCCTCTCTGAGTCTTGCTGTGTCCATCCATGGAGGAAGGAAACACCTAGCCCAGGGCAGTGCTGGCCAGGAGTCTGGGCAAAACGCCTGGATAAAACAGCTGTCCTGGACTCTGGGTCTGTTGGCTTCATAACTAGTCCCACCTTCCACCTGCTGGTGGGATTGAAATTCCTTCTGGGATCTCCCAGGGTCAAAGCTGGCCTGTGGCAGGGCATGGTCTCAGCCAGTGGGTGAGGGGCCACAGGACCTAGGTGTTGGGCTTTGAACAAGCTGGCACTGCCCATGCTGTTACCAGGACACAAAGATGGTAAAATAGGTATTTGAGACTTCTGCGCTGCAGGCCCACAGAGTGAAATGAGCATGGAGTTCAACCTAAATTAAATGTCACCAGGGCTTCCTCCCACCCCCCATTCCTATTTGGAGCTCTCTAGGGCAGTGTCCATGTCGTCCTGAAGCCGGACTCCTTGGTGTCCTGCCCCAGGCAGCGGATCTCTTCATCTCCCTGGAGCACTGGGTGACAGGCCAGGAGTGAAGGGGCTTTGCACACCCACCCCAGACTCCAGGCCTCTTCTGTCCCCATGCACACAGGAACAAGCCTTTTTGTAGAGGACGTGGCTTTCTCTGTTGATTAAAGGGAGAAGAGAAAGGTGCCAAGTGGGAACAAACAAGGGCCTCCTCTTCCCCTTAGCAAGTTTTGCCACGGCTCAAGCTGGTTTCACAAACTCACTGTGGTCACATGAGACTCAAGCCCAGAGCAGAGGGGTCAAACGGCACAAGCTTCTCATAGCAAAGGGTGCCGAAGAGCCCCTCTGCCTGGACATGTACTCTGTGTCCCTCCCCGGAAGGGAAAGGACCTTTGTAATATGCCCAGCTAAGATAACACGGCAGCACTTCCTCCAGTGAGGTGGGTGTAGCCTCCTTTCCAGGCTGCCCCCTCCTGCCCCTCCACTACCTGCTGGCTTCAAATCACTTCTCTAACAAGGACGCCTCCTCCACTTCCGGCTACCCTGCCCTGACGGCATGAGTCACCCACTGCGTCTTGCTGTCATCTCCAGGGTGGTCTCCTGTGGGCAGCTCACACACTCCTCTTTTGCTTTAACACAGGCATGTGCTACATGAGTCACCAGCCAGACCCACGCCCCGCACTAGCCGTACCATGGTGGGGTGGGGCAGGGCTGGACTCCTACCAGGGAGGGAAGAGTGCTTTTTTCTCTTCTTTCTTTTTTTTTCTTTTTAGTAGCTATCAAGTTGAGAAAACCTCTCAAGGGTGTCTGCTTCAATTCTGCAGCCACGGAGAGTGAGTGTGAACCAGACTGCGACGGTGGGGGGATATAAGCCGCTGCCACCGGGTGGATTACCATTGCTTTCCGGTTTAATCAGCCGTCCACAGGACACTCGGCACAGCCTCCCTGGGGGACTGGGCTCCTTCATAGCTCTTGAGGCTGCCTCTTCTGGGGGCTGCTTGGTGGTCTTATGAAAAAGCTCTTAGACTGATCAGTTCCATGTGTCTGGTCCCAAAGGAGCCTCTTTTCCTGGGGAACCCCTTTGTGGGTGCCTTCGAGGCACCTCAGAATCCAAATTCCTATATGTGTCAGTCATTACAAATAGCAGGGCTTGGGGCTGGGGGTTTAGCTCAGCGGCATAAGCACCTGCCTTGCAAGCAGGCGGTTGTGAGTTCGATCCCCGGTACCGATAAAAATGAAAAAGACAAAAAAAACAACAACAACAACAAAAAAAAAAAAAATAGCTGGCTGCAGTCTCCCCAGGCAACCTGGGCACTGGCTTTGGAAGCCACACTTCAACATTCTTAACTACCAGATCCGATCCAGAACAGGGCTACCTGAGCTCTGCCAAACAAAGCTTGAGAGCCCCTGGACACCTTTAAAGTGGGCACCTGAGAAACCCCGGGTGCCAGCTGGGCTGTGAGGCTTGGGACTGCGGTGTGCTTACCTGCTGGCTCCCTGGCCACTTCCTTTTATCACCTTCCTCACCTGCTGCTGACTGTGGCTCAGTCTTCAGGGACACGGAGAGGAAAACAGGAGGCAGGGCAGGGCAGAAAAGAATCCTCAGCTCCTGCTACAGGCTCAGCAGGCTGGAGGTGGCCCTGCTCACCCCAAGATCACAAGGTCACATCTTCAGGCTCCAGGGTCACTCTACCTTCCCCTCTTCCTCCAGGCCTAGGAGGAAGAGCCTCGCCGTTACCATTCTTGAGCAGTGCATACCATCTCTTGGGATTCCTCCACCTACTTTTATAATGTCCTCAAGAAATAGGATTTTTGCAAAAAAGAAAGGGACCAAGAAATGGAGGGGAAGAGAAGGGATGAAAATAGAATTAAGATGTATAACAGACATGTACCAATACCCCAAAGGAATGTAAACATAAACCGCAAACATGTACTGATAGAAATAAAGCCAAAAAGAAAAAAAAAGAAAAAGCCCCAAATCACCCAATTGCAGTAAGTTGCCTCTTGCCAAGACCCTAACCAATACTGACACAGTAAGGCTGCATTGAATACTCCAGGATTTATTGGGCCCTTGAACCAATGGTCTTGATAGACTGTAAACATAAATGTTAAAAGATTCTGCCCTGGTCCAGGCCATAACCCACCAAGTCATAATGAATCTAGGCCTGATGAGCTTGCACCCTGGCCCAAGCCGTAACCCACCAAGTCATAATGAACCTAGGCCTGATGAGCTTGCACCCTGGCCCAGGGAGGGCTCCAGAGCCTGTGGAAGGCAGGAAGGACTCAGAAAGGAAAACCCATCTCTCTGGGCTTTCCAGTCTGGCTGGTGAGTACCAGCTCACCCAGAGAACCAGTGGTCTGTGCTGGTTTGGACTTGAGCCTGAGGACTGGCCATCCCAGGGGGACCTCCACTCTACTCCACGGGGTCCCCATCAGAGAAGAGAGGGCTGAGACTCTCTGCCATCTTTCTGGGAGACTGCAGCATATCACCAATGGGTTCTGGACTAGTGGCAACTCAGATTCAAACACTGAAGTGTCCTTCAGCTATGAAGGTGATTTCCCTCTTTGTAATTGTCTTCTTCACATAATCCTTATGAGTCATGTTAAAGGGTCTGGAATGTTTCTCCTTATACAGGATGGGCAAGGACATGGCTCGCTGGCATCTTGGGAGGGCAGAGACCCAAACATGCTCTGTTCTCTGCACCAAGAAAAACACCAGCCTTCCCTCCATGCCCTGTGAGCCCTTGGCCTCACAGCCCCATCACCCAGGGGCCCAAAGCCTCATTCAGCACGGATGTTCTTGCCGCCCCTCCTAGATGAGATGCTCCAGTAGGGCCGAGCAGGCTGAGCCCAGCATCAAGCCCACATATATGTAAAAGGACATTACCACCCCGGTGGCCTCAGCCAGCTCCCTGGGCACAATCTTGGGCCCATAGATGAGAGCCAGGGTGCTGAGGTAGCCATTGCTCAGCCCTAGCAGGCAAGTGAAGAGCATGGGGTAGATGTCTGACTGGAAGACCACCGTGGTCAGGTGGACGCGGGGCTGGTAGTTACACAACACGAAGAGCGGGATGAGGCCAGTGCGCAGCAGTGACAGCACAGGGAGCACCTTGCTGTTGGGGCCTGGCAGCTGGATCCACGCTGTGATCTGCCGGCCGCATAGGTCCGAGAAGTTGAGCAGGAGGAAGGTGGTGAGGGGCACAAAGAATTTGGTAGTCCACGGTGAGCCCGAGCTCTTGTGGAGGGATTCGATGTTGGTGGAGATTGCAGGGAAGATGAGGGCGGTGACGAAGAACAAGTAGATAATGCAGAAGCCCAGGCCAGCGGTCTTCTTTAGGATGGGTCTCAGGGGTGGCGTGTGGGACTCAACGGACTTGGAGGCCACCAAAGGAGAATGGAGGGAGTCCGGTGTCAGTCCCTCTTCACCAGAAAACACATGGACAGGACCAACAGACTTCATGTGGTACCTGCAGGGAGGAGAGTAGTGTGGTTAGAGGCCACCACAGAGTTTGTTTGGGACTTCCAGGGATGAGGGTGGGAGACCTCGGATTCTGTGCAGCCACAGTGAGTGCCCAGAGCAGCACCTGCAGGCCCAGAACACAAAGCCTAGGCCTTGGAGCATCCACCAGCCCAGATTCCCTGAGATGATTTATGCTGGTGTGGGTGGCCAGGCGAGGCTGTTTCCAGCCTGCTATTTCCAGTCTGCCTGCCAGGCTAGTCTCTGGGTCAGTGGTGGTGGCTATGCCACAAGCAGGGACAGAAAAGACCAGCCCTGACCATCATGAATTGAGCTGAGGCTCCTTTCTTGGCTCATCTGTTTCTGTTTTGGAGGAGGGAGGTAGAAATCAAATAGCATCTTAAAATATGAAATTTTAAAATCATAAAAACTAAATCATGCATAACTATTCCTCTTAAATGCATATATATATATATATATATTATCCATAATGCATTTTCACATCTGTTGGCCAGTTGCATGTCATTTTTGAAGAATATTTATGTAGGGCCTTTGCCCATTTTTTAACTAGGTTCTTTTCTTGCTATTGAGTTCCTTATCTATTTTGGATATTAGCCCATTACCAGACACATGGTTTGCAAATTCTTTCTTCCAATGCACATATTGTCTTATACTGCAGGAGTTAAACAGATATGCAATCTTCAAAAAAGCATCAGTTATCTAGGCAGTATCCCCTTTTCCCTTCTGTCTCATAACTTTTTTTATTTTTGGTACACAGTTGATTTTTTCCAAATAAGGACCCAGAGAAAGTTTGCTTGTATACATGAATGCAATAAGCTTTCTGGCCTGGAAGTCTTCATTTTCTTTTGTCTTTTTTTGTCCAGGGGTAGCTCCCCAGTCTCAGTTTTACTGATTGCATCAGTAAATAAAGGACACTACCCTGTGCCTGTCTTCCTCCACAGGGACACATGGCCCTGTGTCCCCTCTCTACTGAGTTGCTGGATGATGGTTCGGTGTCTCATACACATCCCAACTGCTCCCCCATAGATGGACATTTAGGTTGGTTCTAATTTTTCACTCCTACCAGTAATAGTGCAATGGATTTCCCTACACATAAACCTTTACATGTGTATCCCAATATTTTGGTAGGGCAGGTTTCTACAAGAGTGGATTATTGGATTAAAAGGTTTGCACCTGGGCCGGGGATTTAGCTGAGCAGCATAAGCGCCTGCCTGGCAGCGCAAAGTGTGAGTTCGATCCCTGGTACCAAAAAAAAAGTCTCAAAAGGTTTGTACCTTTAAAATTTTTATAGATATTTATAAAGTGCTGTCTGCATAAGGAGTACCAATTTATCTCTTCCCTGAACTACTCTTGCCCACCCTAGTAAGCAGCTCTTAATCTCCATGTGGCATTTGGATTTTTTTTTCAAATATCTGACCACAGCTCCAGGTCCTCTCCTTCAGTGGCTCTGGCTCTGTGGAAGCTGTCCACTAACAACTTCTGGCCCTAGCTCCTCCTGCTAAGTTCCTCCAGTCTACAGTTCCTTCCCCTCCCCAGTGAGCCCTGCTGGCCTCCTCTCAAGTCAGAGTTCATCCGCGAAGCTCCAGGAGCTCAGCTCTCTGTGGGAACCACCTGTCATCCTTGGTGGGTTTCTGCAAAACCAGGACTCTCAGCCTGGGTTTTAATTAGGAGAGCAACAGAAGCTGCATAGGTAGCAGGCCCTGGAGGTTTCTTCTCAGGTGCTCAGCTCCAAGGCTTGGCCTGCCCAAATGCAGTGGAAATAGGTGACCAGCTGTCTTGCTTTGCTTTAAAAAGTCCCAGGTGACAGGGGCAGGTTGGCTATACTACTGGCAACAGATGCACCAAAGCACTCTCAAAACAAATATAGAGAAGAGCAAGAGTGGGTGATTCTCTGCCCCTTCATTTATTCAAGGATTCAAAAATATTTTCATAGAGGGTGTGGTGACAGGTGCCTATAATCTCAGTACTCAGGAAGCTGAGGCAGGAGGGTTGTGAGTTGGAGGTTAACTTGGGTTACATAGCAAGACACTGTTTCAAAATTAAAAAAGACAAATCATAAGCACCCAAGGTGCCAGGCTGCCTGGGACCACCAGTGAGGCAGCAAGACCTCAGGACTCACAGGGTTGCTGACATGGTAGCATAGTGGGGCAGTTCTGGCTCATGAGTTTGTCCATGCCTGGAGGCTATGCTTTAAAAAGAATAGAACATGAGAGAAGGCCCAAGACTTTTTTTAAAAAAAGAGCAGAAAGCAAGAAAGGAAAAGGAGGAAGTAGAGACAGAAAGCAGAAGAGTCTCAAGGCATGAGAAGGGATCCTGAGGGCGGAGAGAAGCCCCACAGGGAAGCGGGTGATTAGAAGGAAAGATCAGGAGTTGTGATCAAATCCTGGCTCTACTGCCTGCCTGCTGCAGGACTCAGGCAAGTAAGTCAGCTGCCCTGATCCTTGGTTTTCTAATTTGTGCACTGGAATAATAATGAATATCAGTGTATGAGGAAAAGGGCGTGTGAGTATTAAGTGGTGAGATTTGACACTCGCAGCGTGGCTGAGCTTGCTCCTGGAGCAGGGGCGGGCCAGAGAATCAGAGCTAACTTTCTTCCTCTCTCTCTCTCTCTGAGGGTTGAACTTGGGGTCTTCACACTGACCTTCATCCCCAGCCCTTTTTAATTTTTATTTTGAGACTGGGTCTCCATAAGTTGCTGAGTTGCCCAGGCTGGGCTTGAACTTGCAATCCTCCTGTCAGCCTCCCGGAATGCTGGGATTATAGGCATGTACCACTGTGTGACCTTTTATCATTATTATGGCTAAGTCCTCACTTCTGCTGCCTGCTTTCCCTGTCCCCAAACTTGCAAACTTCAACTGCTTGAGGATCCAGTCCGATCCAGGGTCTTTCTTTTTTTTGTTGTTTTTTTGAGGCAGGGTGTTGCTATGCAGTTCAGGCTGGCCTTGCGCTCACTGATTTTGAACTTGCAACATCAGCCTCCCAAGCGCTGGGATTACAAGCGTGAGTCACCATGTCCAGGTTTTTTTTTAACCAGGGATGGAACTCACAACCTCACACTTGCCAGGCAGGCTCTTACAGCACTGAGCTATATCCCCAGCCCTCTGATCCAAGGTCTACGTCAGCCAGTGCTTCCAGCCAGACACAGGTGGAGGCCCGGGAACACAGAGAACAAAGCTCACAGGAGACTCCACCCTCATGGAACTCACATTCTGCTCCTGCGGGGACTGGCAATAAACCAAGAGCCGGACATCAAATGCAATGAGGTGAGGAAGAAGGAAGGGCCCTGCGCACGGAGCAGCGGGGGCAGCCGCAGGTCCTCACCTGGCATACTCCAGCCTTGGCAGCAGCAGGTACAGCCCCATGCAGAGCCCCAGGAAGACGACTGCCGTCAGGAAGAAGGCCAGAGCGCTGTCCCTCACATCATTGGATGCGGCCAGGTCCACTAGCGAGGCCACAGCACTGATGGTGCCTCCCATGGCTCCTCCTGTGGGGAGCAGAGGACAGCACAGAGAAGGTCAGGGTGCATGTGCGGAGGCACAGCTGCGGGACCTCTGTTCAGACCAAAATAAAAACTGCCCCCGCCAGGTGAAAAGTGCCTAAATTCTCACTACTCTGAGGCCACAGCAGACAGGAAGGGTCCCGGCCCAAGTGGTCAGATTTTGGAGGTAGGGCTGCTCCCTGGCTCTCACCTGGTCCCTCTCCTTCTGTTTCTTGTCCTTCTAGGAGGCTTGGGTGCGGCTCTGGGTGGCCCGCCTCAGCTCTGCCTGCAGCCTCCACGGCTATCCTATCGGGGGACATCCTTCCTTCACCCACACTGCTGCTCACACGCCTCACTCACATGCACATGCACACTTGCACAGTACATAGCCCCTGCCAAGGAACACTGTTTTTGCCAAGCGCTTCCATGCATGTGACCCGTGTGACCAGGTGCCCGCCACATCTCTCATGGCTACCTACCACCCTTCACTTGCTAGGCAGCTCAACCCAGAGAAAGGACAGTGACTCCAGGAGCCCACCAGATGTACACATGACATCTACTCCATCTCGGGTTGGCTGTGACCCTGGTGCTCTTGTGAATTCTCTGGGCCATAGTTTGCTCGTGTGTGAAATGGCAACAAGACCCGGCTGGCTCACATAGCTGCCTTGAAGACTGACAGATGACACTGGGAAAGGACCTGGGACACAGCAGACTGTCATCAAGTATTGGTTCCCTTCCTGACCACAATCATGTGGTTCCTTCTGGGAGTCAGGGTATCTGTTTTTTGATCATCCAGCCACGAGGAGTCAACTTGTGCTAGCCAAGAGTCACAAGGCTTGAGAGTCTTGCTGTGTGGGCAGACTCTCCCCAGACTGTCTACGGGCCCAGAAAATGGGGTCAATGTGCACCCTGCTCATCACACAAGACTGCAACAAGGGGAAACAGGACCGAACTGCAGTTCTCAGTGCTAGAAGTGGCTGGGTCTGTGTCTGATGGGCTGCATGGCACATCGGCTCCCTTAGCACACCAGGAGCTAAGCCCAGCCTCAAAGGGAAGGCACACTGCCCACAGCCAAGGGCGAGAGGGTTTGTGTGGCTCCACTTTTCTGCCCACTGTTGTGCAAAGGGACGGACGAAGCCCTGTCCACCACCAGTGACTCACTCACACTACTTCACATCTCTGTGGGGCCCCGATAACAGTCCCTGGCCCTGATGGATGAGCATTGCCCCTAACTTCCCCAGGATGAGTTCTACTGGCTTGCATGGGGCCAGAAACTAGTGCTTCAGGAAAAGCATAGTACACATTAGCAGAGTGATTAAGAGCACCGACTCCTGGCTCTATTACTTCTGGCTGTGTGACCTTCAGCAAGTCCCTTAACCTCTCTGTGCCTTTGCTTCCTCATCTATAAAATGGGCTGTTAATGGTGCCCACCTCTGAGGGCTGTTAGGAAGATTAAGAGGATTATTACATGTGAAGTACTCAGAACAGTGCCCGACACAGAGAAGCAACAAACACCAAATAAATCCTCTCTGATTCCAATTAGGTACTGGGCTATTTCTGTCCTTCCTACATCAAAGCAGTAACAACAGGGTAAACCCTTTGCCAAGAGGGTGCCCACTTCTGAGAAGCAGTAATCCCCACCTGGGCGTTCTGTAAGAAGTGGGGTGACACACAGTACGACATGCGGTGGCCGCCCGAGGAAGCGATCTGAACATCCTGCCTATTGATTTGCCCCTCCCTTTCCCACTCGGAGAGAATTCACAATATTATCGTCAGCAGCCAAGCAGGCCTCCGGGAGCTCATCCTTCATGACTCCCTACTTTTATCTCATCATTTATGGAAATGCATGCAAATGAGGGATTTGAAAAAAAACACCAGCACAAAACAAATGAATTGTTTCTCAGATGCCAACATGTGCAGAATTCACAGATGGGCTCCTCTGGACAGAAAGAAACAGGGGGGGTGGGGGTCTCTGGGAGCTCGGGACCCCTCTGATGTTCTGGGGTGTCACATGCCATGATGGCCTAGCACAGCTATGCCATGGCGGGGAATCTTGGTGACTGATGCTGAGGTCTAAGTACTAAACTTCCCCACCTACTTATCTATTTAAATTTTGAGAAGAGGTTTTGCTAAATTGCTAAATCACCCAGCCTGGACTTAAAACACACAACCCTCCTGCCTCAGTCTCCTTGAGTGCTGAGATTACAGGCATGTGCCACCATGTCAGGCTATCGCCTCTTTGTAAAACTGGATTTTCTGAAAAATTCACAGGAGACTCTCAGTCCTGGAAGGTTGGGCAGTGGAGGACAGACCGAAAGGGCCATTACCAAAATAAGTGGTGTGTTTGTGTAGTGGTTGACTCCCGGCCGGGTGGCTGGCATGGCTGAAGTTACATGGAAGATTACTCCAGCAGAATGGAAGGAGATGCAGGATAAGAGCTCTTTTTGAAGCAAGGGGTGACAGAAGGGATTAACGTGTGATAGCCACTTCCCTCGGCCCAGACATACCTTTCTTGAAGTGTTGCTAGGAGCATGTTGACTATACTTGGGAAACTTAGCAACGAGTTCATTTTGATTTTATTTTGGGCCCAAGGGTTTCCCAGGATAGAGCTAGGAGCTTAATCCTATATCAAAAATGGCAAACAGACTGCAGCTTACATCTTGACTCTGATCCGTGGAGAGTAATTGCCTCAAGTGCTGTGTGGAGAAGGATTTAGAGGCTCAGAGGGAAAGATAGAGATCTATTAGTGATGTCTGGCACTGGTGTGGTGTGGGGAGGGGGACATCTGCTTGTCAAGGTTCCTAGTTAGCCTGTGCCGTCCTAACCGGCACTGATAACTAATGGGCGTGGTACAGATTCCCTGTGCAATCTTCTTCCCAGGGGGATACTGTTCAAAGCACTCCTCCACCTTGCTTTGGGGGCCAAGGTCTCACAGGAAGGCACAGATGTTGACAGAATCAGCTCTGTTTACATGGTGGGGTTGTGTGGAAGAGACAAAGCAGCCACGGCGCCTCTAACAGGCGTAGCATCCTCATGGCAACTCCAGTTAGTGGCTGGGGCCAACTGAGTGTGAGCAAGCTCCGGGAACCTCACAGCCTGGGGGACCAGGGAGATTGCTCCCTCCTCTGTCAGCTCTTTGAGGATGCATGCTCAGTCATCTTTGAGTCCCTGGGACAGGGTAACTCCTCTATAAGGTATGAAAAGAAAAAGCAGAAGAGGGAAAAGAGGAAAAACAAGAGAAACAGGAGAAGGGAGGACTAGAGGAGGAGGAGGGAAGGAGAGAGGAGAAGACTGGTCTCAGACCCTGCACCTCAATGGCAAATTGGCTGCCATGCGGGCTCCCTCCCCACCTGTGCCTCCAGCCTGATTTCCTTGGTCACTGCCAGGGTCCCTGTTGTCTTGAGTCTAGTGGAACTCGTGACTGTGGTGGAAGTAACCCTATATGACCAAGTTGAAAATAAAGCTGTGCCTCGGCCTTTGGGGACACTTATTCTGTGACCACACACCATGTCCAAGGAAGCCCACACAGCCATGGCAAGGCCCACATGGAGAGGAGCCGAAAAGGGCTGTCCCTGCCCACATCACAGATCTGTGACCAAAATAAACTAAGCCAGAGTCCGGGGTGGTTTTTCTCACAACCATAGGAAGCGGAAAGGCACACAGCACACGTTTCCTTTTCTGAAAGACCATGGGTAACCCCCATGTTCCTCCCCAGGCCCCGAAGAACCTGGCAGCTGCATGACCAGCTGTCACCTGATATCAGCGCCTGCGCATTCCTCATGGGGAAGGAGCCGGTCAGGCCGAAGACGCTGCTGTTGAAGATGGTGGCAGAACCACTGACGATGGCCATGCAGATGATGGTGACCGTAAAGAAGCCCCGGGTCCAGGAGGAAGTATCCACCTTCACCAGCACAGACATCACCACAAAAATGGACAATGTGACGACCAGGGAGGCCAGGACGCGGACCTGGACAGGAACCCTGGGTGAGGATGCCAGAAGTGATTAGATGTCCCCTCCTACCCTCTTGTTCACAAGCCATGTGGCCTTGGAAAGTGGTTTGAGCACCCTGGTTTCAGCCTCTCAGAGAGCTGCCTCTTGAGGGGCGCTGACTGGGGAGGGGACACACAGTGGACACAGCTCCTACTACTGGCTATGAAGTTCACGAGTGGGATCCAGGCAAGTCTTCCACAGTACTGCACTTTTGCTGGCTTTGTCCATTGCTCAGACAACACAGTGACCCCTGGGCTTCCTCCTCCCAAAACTCAGACTCAGCTGTGCAGTGTGGGGGAGGGCAAGCGGCCGCCACCACCATCATCATCAGCATCGTCGTCACGGCGCACAGGCAGTCCTTAGCCTGCTCCCTGTGCCAGGCACCCTCCTAAGTGGTTTCTATGTCTCCCTCGCTCTCTCCCTTGCACCTCTGTCAGGAAGCTGTTCTCCTACAGCCTGCTGATGTGGAAATGAAGCTATAGTCCGTGACAGTAAGGAATTTGCTCAAGGTCACTCAACCATGACCCCAGGGCCTGGCTCCTGTCTGTGCTCTGAGAACAATGCTCCACTGCCCTCTCCGGAACAAACAATACTGGATGGCATAAGCTAGTGTTGCCCAGGGCCAGGAACCCCTGATGCCCCTCATGCCACCCCACATCCCAGCCATCCACTCCTCCCAGCCCCCACCCAGGCAGGAAGGCAGGAAGAAGGCTCTTGGAGAAAGGGCTCATTTTTATTCTAGGAGAGACAGCATCACCTCCAAGGCTGTTTCAATCATCAGATTAGACTAAACTAGAAACCAGATTGAGTGTTTAGTTCATTTTCCTGCTAACCAATGTGTGTGTGTGGAGGGGGGTAGCTGAGAGAAAGGCCAGATTAGATACACGCAGATTTTTCCATATAAAAAAGGACAAACTTGAAAGGTAGAAAATACAGAGATCTATGTACATGAATAGGTGTGAAGTGAGGCGCAGGGAGAAAGCAAAGGATGCTTGCCAAGTGCTTTCGTGGCCCTAAGCTAAGTTGAGCCTCCTCCGATCCTCAGTGGTGCTGTGTAGGCTTTGTGAAGGGTAAGGGGGAGCCTGGAGCTTGAGGAGTCGGAGGAAGCTGGAAGGGGAACCCCGGATGCTGGGCTTCCACCTCTTGCTCACTGTGGTCATGGGGAGCTCATTCTGCAAACCTGCATCCAGCAACTACTGAGTGTCAAAGACTATGGGGTGTGCGGGACACAGGGCCGAGCAACTGAGACACTGTTGTCCACAGTGCTAAGTGCCCCAGACAGAGGCACACAGGATAGGTACAAACCCCATCCTGGGAGACAGGGGGGGCCACTACCTGGAAGTGGTACCTAAGCTGGGCTGGAAGGATGAACATGTGTGTCCAGGGAACTAATGAAGTACTCTGGCTGCAGATGAGATGGGGCAGAGGATGGAGAAATGCACAGCCTTGCCCTAGAGGAACTCATCCACTCTGAGCAGCTAAGGACTTGATACCCAGAGGGGCACTGAGTGGGTGCAGGATCTTTGTCTGCCCTGGGAGTATCCTCTATGTCAACTCATCCTGAGAAGGTGCCAATCATGTCCCCCACAACAACCCAGCCTCAGACATGGCACCAGAACTGGCAGGGCAGTCATACTGCCAATGCTTCTGACTACTAAATGGGTCAGAGATTAGCATGGAACCCACACCACACCATTCGGGCTTCCCCAAGACTGATACATGGAAGCTGGTGGACAGCTTTCTCTGAGTATGTCTAGGCTGCTCACTGTTCCTTGGCCAGCTGTGTAGGGGCGAGGCTGCATAGACAATGGGACAATGCAAAGACACAGACCCGGTGTCAGTGCAGGAAGACATTCCTTAGACCCAATGATGTCTTGTCATGGTTTATGTCAGTGGTCCCAAGCCTCATGCAATTATGGACTTAACCAAATCTAGCATTTGTGATTGGTTCATTGTCTAGCACTCAGATTGGTGGTGTGAGTGTTTCACCCGCCCAGGGGTGGAGCTATGATGTATCTGCACGAAGAAGGTGTGTCTCTCTCTCCTGCTGGTTTGTGTCTTGCTGTTTTCAGCAGCCACGAGTGGCGCCCCGCCATGCCACGCTGCCTTGGAGCCAACTGAGTATGGACTGAAACCTCCAAGAACTATAAGAAATAAACCTTTTCTTCCCTAAATTGGGATGTCAGATATTTTGTCTCAACAGTGAGTAAAAAGTAATCAAGACCTGACAGAAGGCCATTCGGACTTTAACTTTCAATTACAGAAACAGAAAGTTCTCTTTTGTGTCTTTCTCATCTGTTGCCAAGCATATCCACACACTGGGGTTTCAAACTGGGACACAACTCTGCCAGGAACTCTCCAGCGATGCTCCTGGTCTCCTGCCATGTGCCCTTGCTTTTACCACTTTAGTGGGTGACAGGTAACGAACAATTCTTAAGTGCAGCCTTCAACCACTGAAGGGAAGCCTGTGGACCAACACCTCAGATCCTGCAGGGTTAGCACTGCCGTCCGTGGACTGGGAGGACAAGGCACCTTCTCTCCCGCATGCTTCCTTCCTCCCTGCCTTCTGTGGGCTCCCAGCTTCACCTCCCACATTAGCTACTCACATCTATACCCTAGTTTCACAGTCTGTTTCTAGGAAGTCTCCCACTAAGATGCCCACTAAGATCTACACTAAGACTCATCTTCCCAGGGTCTGCAGGAGCCTGTCAGGACAGGGTTGGTGGGTAACCAGAAGGAGCAGCTGAACCTCAGGGTTCCAGAGTGACTGCTGTAAGGTTCCCTGGGTGCTGGTATTCAAGCCTTAGCCCTAATGCTCTGGGTGATCCTGCATACTCATCCCTGGCACATAGGCCCTCGTGTTCCCCACATGCCCCCCAGCAGACACATTGCCTTAGCTAAGAGAGAAGAGCCCTGGCTAGCTCAGCCACCAGCCTGCTGGGTGACCTCAGGCAAACAATAAACCTCTCTGGGCCTCTAGTCTCCTTATCTCTAAAAAGAAACATACCAGACTAGATAATATCAAGGTCTCCAACAACTGATTCTGAATTTGAAGAAATTCAAGTAGAGACAGAGGTTGAGGGGACAAACCCCAAAGTTTTAATCTGTTCCTTGAGCACCTGCTAAATATTTGCTGGACAGACACACTGATGTACAAGAAACACCACCAGTGTGGGGCCGTTTCTCACGCTGGCCTAGACATCCTGGGTGCTACCTGCTTCCCACCTTGCAGCAGGGAATCGCACACAGCCGCCAGGCTTGGATGGTCTCCGCCTCCAGCCACTTCCTCGTGGACACAGTGATGAAAAGGTCCAGCAGGAATGTGGCCATATCAGCGCCCTTCCGGGTGCTGATCACCATTCATTGCTTGAATGGGACGGTGGCTTTGCAGGAACTAGGGGACATCTAACTCAGACCCCTGCACAGGGAGGTGGGGCAATGGGGGGCTGAGGAGCCAAACACCCAATGCTTCACGAAGCAATGCAGTTTGGACAGCTGCTTCTGTCCCCCTAGGTTCCCTTATCTTCACAGGTCTCCTCCATGCCTGCCTATGACCCACTGCCTAAGCCACCAGGACCTCCTTCCAGGGGCTCCTGGCCTGTGGCCCACGCCTGGTGCTCCTTCCAGCCATCATAGTGCTTTCTGAAATGCTCCACATGCAAGCTGCCCCACAGCACCCACAGGACACTTGACTGTCCTCTCTACAAGATGCAGATGCTCTTAGGATTTTAGGGGAACAACTTGTGCTTGTGGTGGGGTTCCTCGCAGTGGCAGGGCATGGCTGAGGTGATAGCTCTGGTCTGCAAGCCTAGGGCAGGCCACACCACCGTGAAGAACCTGAAAGAGGACTGCTGGTGGTATCCAGGATGCTGTGCCACCCCCTTGCCAGTGAGGGCTCAGGCCCCCAGGGCACTGATTTCTTCATATCTCTCCAAAATGTGAGTCCTCCTCATGAGTATTTATGATGCTGCAGATTTAACATAATAAAACACTTGGAGATTATGGATGAGCCAGTCAGAGTGAGTCTGGGTGTTCCGGGAGGGAGAGGAGGAAACACTTCAATCTCGCACATTAAATAAAAAATAGCTTAGCCCCAAACTGTCCTCCTGCAGCCTGGTAACAGTCGGAAGCCTGGGAAGTTTTGCACATCACCGTTGGCCTGGTTCTGGAGGTCAGGCAGGGGCAGGGGCAGTGGCTGGCCTAGGGTGGCTGGTCCCTCCTGGGCATGCTGAGCCATGTCCTCACACAGTGCCCTCCTTCTTTCCCAATATTCTGGGGTCTGGACCAGGAGTGGAGCAGGGAAGGGCTGCAAAATTCAGACTTCAGATGGCCCAGAGGTTCCAAGTACAGACTAGGGAGAGGGTGTCTCCATTCAGACAAATCCTGGTTCCCCTCTTAATGGCTGTCATTAAGGCTGTCATTATTGGCTGTCAACAGGTTCTGCAGGCCTGTTTCCCCATCGCTAATCAGTCACAACTTCCTCCTGCCATGCTGTGTAAGGGTAGAGGCAAAGTTGTACAGGACAGGTCTGCTTGGAAGTACATGTTACTGTCACTGGTGATCTTCCTCCTGGTCTCTTTGCTGCCACCTCTGAGTCCCATCCCTGGGGCTGCTTCCCACCTGCTAGACCTCCTGACCACAGAGGAGACAGCACCAGGGGAGATGCAAGCTCGGGCCATCTTGGCCTCTGTGATCTTGGCACAAGCCCTGACCTACCTGGGAAAACCTCCAACTCCCTCCTGAGATGTTAGGCAGACAAAAAGGGTCACCAAGGCATGGTACCCTTGTTACCATTCAGAGGTGACGCCCAGCTGGTGGGGCACAGAAGGTCTCATCCACGCAGTAGCCTGGATGGCCTGGACTATCCTAGTGGGACAAACTTCCTCTGTGGAGCCAATAGCCAGCAGACAGAGTGGATCGTGAGTGGGCTGGAGGAAAGAGGTTATAGTATGAGGCTGTGGCTTCCCCAACACCGAGCTGCTCTCTTCCCCACCGCCAGGTACTGCCTGGGACCTTGCTCTGTCTATAGGGCTCTGCTCTTGGCATCTTTCCTTCCCTCTTCAACAGTGGGGGCAGCAGGATACTGGCAGCCCCAGAGCCAGGAAGCCGGGCAGGTCAAGGCCCGCAGTGCGTCAGACACTTGCCTTTCAGGTTGCACCTCGGTTTTCAGAGGAGCACATTCCTAGATATCGTCTCATGGGAGGTATCTATGTTCCCTTGGAACTGAGTGGCCTTTGTGATAGCCTTGGTCAGGTGAGTGCAGCAAGTGACACCATATGACTTTGGAGATGAGGTTACAAAACCATGAAGCTTCTCCCTGGCCATCTTGGGCCCTCGCTGTCCAGCCTGAATGAACTTCTGTTACCCTGAGGCCCACAAGTGAGAGATGAGCATCCTCTCTGGCCCCAGCTCAGGAACTGCTCAAGTAACACAAAGCCACAGCTAAGCCTCACTGAACCTCAGAGCATGAGGGGAACTAGCTATTGCTATTATGCAAGTCACTTTGCTTGGGGTCATAATACACAATAGATGGAACAGCTCCATAGCATGACATATTTGGAAAAATGGCCCTGTTCAGGCTTAGCATGCACAGGCACTGGTGCCATCCCCACCTTCCCTTTACCTACGGCAGGCATCACTAATTAATCGTAGCACCTTCCCTGTGGCTAGATTTGCTGTACAATCCTGTTCAACCAGAGGTCCTGGCAGTTTACAAAGTGATTAGAGATGAGTGAAACCCATCAGTGAACTGAGGTCTCAGTGGACCGAAGCCAAGAAAAGCCCAGGCTTCTGGACTACAGTGAAGTTTGTTATCACCCAGTGGTTAACTCCCAGGAAATGCAGGCAAATCACTTATGGCTATGGCCCTGCAAACTTAGACTGAAAGAGGGCAGTAAGAGTCACACATGGGGTCCACAGGCCATGCTGATTGACAAATAATTCTTCTTCTGTGGTGTACTCAGATGGGGCATTCCCTACCCTTACCAACTATAGGTCTGAAATTCCCACTGTATGAAGTAGACAAACCCACTGGTGCCGCCACCTGGGCCCTGGGTCGTGAGGTGACCCATGGCAGGAGCAAGACCAGGGCTGCAGGACGCTCCAGTTTCCAGCTGTTCTCAAAAGAACAGCTCCCATGGGACTCATCCCTGGCCCACTGTGCCATCCACATGGCGTCCCCAGGCAGGCCCCTCAAGAGGAGTAGGGAGGAAGGCCGCTGTGTGCCCACACTCTTCTGCTGGCTGCTGACTGGGTCACCATGTGTGCTGGAAGCTGAGAATCCAGCTCCTGACTGGGCCTCCCCCAGGGACTGACCTGACTTGCGATGACTGGTCCAAGCTGCTGTCCCCACTTGGTGACTACCGAGGAAGCAGGAGCACAGCTGCAGTGGGCAGGAGGAGCCGGTCCCGGGGCTGGGGAAGCCTACCTGTTGACCAGCAGGAAGTTGGCCACGAGGCACAGCAGGGAGGGTACGGTGGAGGCGATGGCAAGGTAGCTCTCAAAGTAGTTCTGGAAGCACAGAAGTGGGGAGCTGTTGTGGTCACTTGGGGACCTGCTTTTGTTTCTCCCACTGTCATCAGTCACCCAGGAGCATGTCATCAGTCACCCAGCACTCAAGTCCACATGGTCTCACCCCCGTCTCCAACCTAAGACACTTACTCTGTCATTCAACCAACAGCCACCGATGTCAGGGGTGCTAACACTTAGCTGTGCTGAGTACTGGCATCACAGCAAAGACAAGACACTGGGTCCCTAGAGAAGCCCATACTCCCAACCAGTCTACCAGGAGCCGTGGCAGTGGTTGGGGACTCTACGTATGTCTAAAAGGAAAACCTCTGCCCTCGATGCCTTCTTAACATATTGCCAAAATGTGACAAAACCCAGGTTTGTCAGGACCCAGCCACATTCTCAGAACCACAGGAGACAGTGTAGAAACACACAGGCCCAGTTCTGGACTTGCTGCCCTACCACAGACGGTCAAAGTCCTTTGAGGAAGCAGCTCCTAGACTGACCAGGATGAGAAGAAAAGGTGTCTTCCTGGCCAGCTCCGGGACATGATCAAGGCTGTGGGAGGCCACAGAAGGATGAGGACATTTCTGATCACAGCATGGCACAGTGAGAGCTGAAGAGGCTGTGAGCAAACTGGATGTGTGTCGAGACTGAGAAATGCCCATCCATGAGGATGGGTTGAACAGTGTGTGTACCACCCTTTAATATATCTAGCTTGAAAAACAAGATTCTAGAGGGGCCGAGGGCATGGCTCAGTGGTGGAACAATTGCCTAGCGTGCAGGACCTAGCCCAGGGTTCAAATCCCAGGACCACAAAACAAAAAGACATTTTTGGCTTTGGTCACTGTAGGTCAAACTATGAACCCAAGGTGGGTAATGAATTCTAAGCTGTGATAAGAGCTGCTGTTTATTAAGCATGCGAGGGATGTATACAGGGAAGGGTTTATATGACTTATATCATTTAACTCTAAACATCAAGCAAATAGAAGTTGGGTGAGTTTTCCACTCTGGAAAGCTTAAGAAATTTAACTTAATAAACATTTTGATACCAAGTACAAGCAACAAGACATACCAAGCACCTGCCACTGTCCAAAGCTGGCAGCTAGCTGTAGGATCACTAACAAACACTGGATGTGCTTCTCACCAGTGAAGAGTGTGGCATGTCCCACTGGGAGTGTAAGGTGGTGTGTGAAGGCTTCTAACAGCTTGAACACTACAGGAAAGGATGTCAGAATTCCCTGCTAGGGTTTTTTTGCCCCCAGATCAGATGGACTGGTGGGTTACAAAGAGTTTCAGGTAGGAGGTAAGAGTTTCAAGAAGATGGAAATGGCCAGGGGTTTGAGCACACAGGTCTCAGGGGAAATGGGCCTGTCGTCGACCTTGATATAGAGTCAGATTCTCCATTCTAGGCAGGGTTGATTGCCACCTGGAGGCTAAGAAAGACGGATATCATAATGGGCCTCTCGGAGTCAGAAGCACAGACCTTTCCACAGTCCTTTTTTAAGCATGCAGAGGGCTTTGTGGCCTTTGAAACCTGCACCCAAGGTCTCGGGCGGCCTTGCAATTAAAATGATAATCACAGCATGTGCAGTGGTCCATCAACCATGAGCCTCAGAAATAGTGTTCCGCCTTTGGGGCCCCATTGTGTTCACCCCGATGGGCTCAGCAGAGCCCGGGCTGAGTTGGGCAGTCAGTCGATGCCATCCTGACACAGTGGCTGGGCCTTGGGAGTGGGGGTGGGCACTGGGTGGGAGCAGTAGAGGAGAAGAATGCCTGCAGAGTGGGGAGACCTGGTAAGGCCCCTCCATTCTGTGGTTGCTCAATCAGTGGCCCATGAATGACTGTCATGTGGGCTGGAGAATCTCTTTCTTCCGAGAAGGCTCGGATTCCCTGAGTGTTTTAGGGACGGGGATTTTCCAGGTAACTGAATGTTCTGGTCTGTTAACAGTTAAGCAGAAGACCATGTCTTTTAATATTGAAAGCTTTTCAAATATTGACAACTGAATAAGACTCTAAGTCCCTTCCCATTGTCTGAGTCCAGTTCCCTGCTTTGGACCTGGGGCCGGGTCATCGTTCCTATCAATATTGATGAGAGCTACAGTGACCTTTCCCAGGTGGCCCTTTGGCTGGGACAGCAGCCCTGGTGGACACCTGGCTTGCAGCCTGAGGGTTTAAGCAGAAAGAAGGCCCAACCACACTGTGCCCAGACTATTGGCCTGCAGAAATCATGAAATAATAGTATGCTGTTTAAGCCACTATCATTGTAGCATTTTGTCACGCAGGGTTTCAGAGCTGAGCCCCTACACTGGGGTCTTTGTGAACACTGCACCCTTCCTGTTTCCTGTACACCTGTTCCTCTATGAGGACGAGGACAGCTCACTGCAGTCCTTTGGTTAATTTCCTGCCAGACACAGAGACTGATGCACTTGTTCACTAGGAGAATGAAGACCATGCTTGCTGAGTACCCCAAGCCCTTCAGCCTGTCTTCTGTGGAAACTGGGAGTTTTCTAAGTGGCATGTGCTGATTTAAAGAAACAGACTAGATTTATGTGCCACTGTGCTGTCTGCCCATTCCACGCATGGCTGGAGGACAGGCAGGAAAGGCTGCAGAACTCCAGGCAACTTCCTCTTCCCCCAGGGTGCTAATGAGAGGTGCTCACAGTGGGCATTCTGAATGCTCCAAGGCAGTGTGGGGCAAAGCCCAGTTCTCAGTGCCTGCCTGGCAAGTGTGAGTTCGATCCCCCCCACTACAAAACAAACAAACAAACAAAAAGTTCATTCCTTGAGTGTTGGATCTGCCTTCCTGCCCCTACAATCTCACCAGGTTGTCTACACCCTGCAATTACCTGGAGCTCAGGAGAGGCTCAATACTCAGCCTCTGGGAGCAGCAAAGCCAAACGTCATCCTTGGCACCCACAAGGTGACCCAAGTGGGGTCCCACAGGACATCTGAACACAGCAGCTCACATGTGGCCTACACAGACCCCAGTCCATTTGCTCTTACTGCAGCGGTTAAGGATGAGGCAGACCTGGACTCCCCATCATAGTCATAAGAAGCCTGAGGCTGACAAAGCTGCACATCTGGGTGGTGCTGGCAGCGGGACTTTCCGACGCTGGGCAGAGCCACCTGCACTACTCTGCAGTCTTGCTGAGGTCGCCTTGTCATAGCTGCAGTAGCTGACTCCACGGTGAGGACCACAGTGCCTCCATGTTTGCCCCAGTGCCCAGGCTGGCGGCCTGCAGGCTGTCCTAGCTGTGAGCACTGACCGGTTCCCAACCCTGAAGGCTCATTCACAGGAGCTGTGGTTCTCTCCACGTGGGCAACGTCTTTCCTCTGTCCAGCCCTGCAGCTCAGGTGACCTGCCCAAGCAGCAGATGATGGAGTTCACTGTCTCTTCCCTCTGCCTGCAGGGGTGGACAGATCGAAGAGGCGGAGGTGTGCTAGCTGTCACTAGTCTCAAAGCCCCCGCCCACTGCCCTGGGCACGACCACAGGCCTACAGACCCGAGCAGCGCTAACAAGAGAAAGAAAAGATTAAGAGAAAAGCTGCCAACTCTGCCAGCCACTAGGAATGAATGGGCATGGTGGTGGTAAGCGGGGACCATGTTAAAAAGGTAAGTGAGGGCTGGGACACAGCTCAGTGGTAGAATAAGTGCCTAGCATTTGTGGGGCCCTGGGCTCAATCCCCCAGCAAGGCAAAAAGTAAAAAAATAAACAGAAGATGCTGGGTAGCACTGAGCAGCCTTCCGGCTTCTCTCCTAATAATTGCAGTCCTCACAATGTCCTCAGGAATGGAGCTGGGGACTCAAAACCTACCCCAGAGCAGCTCCCAGATGGCAGGTGAATGGGACCAAGCCTGTTCTGGCCAGGGGATGACAGGGACATTTGATCCACTTGTGATAAGGAAACTCGTTTTTACCTGCTACACTCAGCCCAGTGTGGGATCACAGGAAAGGGGAGAGATGCTCTTCAAATGCAATTTTAAGACCAAGCCGATCCTGCCAGCCAGATGTGCAGCCGATTTTCTGATGGGGAGCATTTCCTACTCCCCAACACACTGACGCTCTGTGCTACGCGGCTTTTCTGGAAGAATCTGATTCTGGGCTCAGGGTCCAGGTAAAGAGGTTTCTCCAGGCAGGGAGGCCCTGGAATGAGCCCGTTTAATCTCTGGCATACCCTAGTTAAGCTTCCTTTCCACTGAACGCCATTTGGGCACTTTGAAATAAGTGCAGCAAATTAGTTACGAGCTGCGGCAGCCTCAGAGCCTGGAAGGCCACCGAGTGGCTCCACCAGGCAGCTTGTGTGACCCCCACTTCCAGAACGCAGGGCGGAGGCAGCTGGGCTCCTGTGGGGTGAAAAAAAGCGATTCCAGCCTGGGGGTGGCAGCTCAAGGCAACAGAGCATTACCTGGATCACAGGGGCATGAAATTAGCAGCAGCGAGCAGGCTGAAGCCAAGAATAGTTTGCCGATGCAAACTCGCTGCTTTCTGAGAGTGGAGTTCTGGGCCCGGATGTCACGGGTGGCACCCTTGATCTGGGCCCAGGCACATATCATTCGTGGGCAGGGAGAGAGTTAAGTAAGGGTTATGGGGCGGCGCCCCCTCACAGGCAGGCCATGTCCTTTCTGTGGGCCCCAAGGCCCTGTGCCTGGGGTGTTGGTCCAAGGAAGGATAGGCGTAAGGCCGAGGGATGAAGGAGCTGAGGCTGCATGGGCAGGGAGGGAGGACAATGTGACAGGACCCACACAGGAGGGACCAGGTGGTCAGGGCACCGATGGCAGCATGAAGCTGACCTCAGAACCAGACAGGTACACCTGCAAAACTCCAAGCAGACAGAGCCACTGCTACCCTGAGGGTGGGGAGCCTGATCAGAGCTCTGCAGCCTGAGTCCTCATGACCTTGGGGCGTCTCCAAGCCTGGGCTCGCTAAGAGCTGGAGGCCACCCCAAGTGTCACCCTTTCTCCACACCTCCAGGTTCTCCAAAGGAACCCCTGTGAGAGGG